CCAGCAGTTCAGGAATCCCTCTACTATGTCCTTGACTTTCAGTAGACGTTTCCATATCCATGAACAAGTAGAGCCAACAGTGAGTTCCCAGAAAGAAGCTTCCTTTTATCCTATATAAGTGGATCCATGCCACCCACCATGAACCACTATGGGTGAGCAGATTCCATATATGACGAGTTGTACAAGCTATGTTCCATGTCCTAAGACACTTGATCCCCAATCCACCCTCCTGTTTAGGTAAAGTCAGCTGGTCCCAAGCAATTACTGCTCTCTTCCTACTTGAATTCTCAGTCACCCCCAGAGGAAATGATTTCATTTTAACTCAATCTCTCTTATAACTGACAAAGGTAAAAGGAACACATTCATCTAGAATTGAATAGACTGCTCAATACAAATTGAATAAGATGTAGCTTCCCTGCATAACTCAATAACTGACCAGTGATCCTCTTTGTCAGCTTCTCAATTAAAATGCTACAATCACCAGCACTAAGCTTCTCAGCAATTAAAGGAACTCCTAAGTATCTTACTGGTAAAACAGCTTTCTGGAATCCTGCAAGCCTTGCCAATATCCCATGCTCATCTTCTGCTACCCCATCACAAAACAAATGACTCTTTTCAGGGTTAAATCTCAGTCCTGACATATGGTAAAATCTGTCCAGCAAACCACATACACTAGATACTGCTTTTTCTGAGCCATTTGAGAAAATTAAGAGGTCATATGCGAAGACTAAATGGGTAATTCCAAGTCTCTTGCTTCTGGGATGGTAAGGGAGATTCCCTGCTGCTGCTTTGTTCAGGATACAAGACAAAACTTCCATGACTATAGAAAATAAGAATGTGGAGAGGGGATCACCCTGCCCGAGGCCTTTTTGGGCTGAAAAGTAGCCACAACTCCCTCCATTAACATCTACACTCAGCATTGGTGTAATAATACAAGTTTTGATCCAAGCTGTAAACTTAGTAGACAACCCCATTGCATGCATAACAGTCAATGAGAAATCCCAATCGATGAAATCAAACGCCTTCATCAAATCTATCTTCATAGTGATGCGTGGGGATATATGTTTCTTGTTATACCCTGCCACCAGTTCTGATGCCAGTAAAATATTGCCACTTATACTCCGGCCCTGCACAAACGCTGACGACTTTTGTTGATAAAGTTTGGTAGCACCATTAAAAGACGATTTGCTAGTATTTTGCCAATGCACTTATATAGTACATTGCAACACGAGATAGGTTTGAACAATCTCATATGGTCTGCAGTAGCTACCATATGTATAAGCACAAGAATAATAGAGTTCAGCTCTCTAGGTAGATAACCAGTTAAAAAAAAAAGAGCCAATTGCTTGAGTGATATCTTCCCCTATTATTTCCCAAACAGCTTTATAGAATTCAATTGTATACCCATCAGGACCTGCTGCTTTGTTAGAACCCATACTGAATAGGACTCCCTTTATTTCTTCCTTAGATACATTATTACACAAACTAGCAGCTTCATCTTCTGAAATTTTATGAACTAGAAGTCTTTCCATTTCTTCTATAGAGCAACCCATCACTTCTTGGTTCTTTGCCCCCAACAACTTCTTGTAAAATTTAACTGCCACTTTTAGAGACTGATTTACTGATGATATATGAGTAGTAGTACTTATAATGACGAAAGCTGCTAACTAACTCTCCCAAGAAAGGGGGAAAGGGCGTTGTGTGGCCGTAGCGCCCGACTTAGGGAGATGAAAAAGGAGGACCTATACAAAGGAAATGATAGTGGTCAGGTGAGGTGATGAGCGCCCGTATGCCTCTGTCAACTAGGTATTGTGGGTTGGGAATGCGATTTATAGGAAGAGAGATAGCACTGAAACTGAAGTAGTTCGTTCGTACTAAACATAGAGAATGGGGGGAGCGGGGATGGAGCTTTTGTTCAATGAAAAGAGAGCTGTTATGGAGTTATGATTACATCTGGATTCCAATTTAATGCCCTAAGTTTTTAAAAAAATTTCCCTCAATTGACAAAACATACGAATTTACCCCACTCGCCCTATATCCCTAAAAAAGAACTTCTCGAGGCGTTTCCACTGCTCCGCTTCCCTGTCGACGCCATTCGCCCTGGATCCTTCCCCCGTCGCCGGCTCTGCGCCCTGCAACTGCCTTCCGCTCAAGAGTTGTCACCGCGAGAATCTTCCGCTTCTCAAGCCCCCACTTCCTACCGCTGCTCGCTTTCGAGGTAGGAGGAGGCATGACCGGGCGGAATAATTTTCTTTCTTCTGCATCCTCGATTGGCGCTGGGGAAGGTATGGCAGCGTAGTGAAAGGTGTCCTCTTATTGTCAAAAAAAAAAAAAAAGGTGTCCTCGATCTCCTGGAATTGTATCTTTCTATTAATTAAAATCGGGGCCAAGATCCTCTCCCTCATCAAGGTCACTAATTCTGGCATTATCAAACTCTTTGTTATTTTCTTGACTTTTATTGAAAGAAAAAAATTTAATTGTAAATGTTTGCAAATATGACATTATTTAGTGCAAAATTTACCCCTACTTATGCTCAAAATTGCATACTCACTTATAGGATCCGCAATGTTTGCAATCGGTGTGCTTAATGTCGAATTTCAACTCCATTGCATCAATTTGTAGGAGATAAAAAGGTGGAGCTCCTCTCATATTGCCACTTGCATGGAATCATGGAAGAGTAGATATAGATTAGTATCCAAGTGCGTGAATGACATTTATGTGCACCTATATCTTGTCCTATAAAAATAACCTTCGCAATTTTGCAATTGATAGTATTTTTAATGTATCTCAACCCTAGGTATAGATGAGAGAATAACTCTATTCCCGAATTTGATTTGTTTTTCATTCATGAATAAATAATAATTATATTCATAAAATAAAATATTTTCATAATTTCATTCATCAATCCTACCCAACAAATCTACAAATGGCTAGAATTTTCAAAATTAATGCAACCATAACTAAAAGTTACCGTGACATACTAATCTTCTTAATTGCCCTTTCATATTTTAAAAATCCGAATCCAACGGCAAATATTTATTAGGCATAGTTTTGAAATTTAAAATTAATGTTTCAATTTATTAATAAAATTATAATACATTTTCCCTCTCTCTTACTTTCATACACGTTTCTCTCTCTATCCCTCTTCCTGCAGCTCACGTCTCTCTCCGTCATATGGTCCATAAATAGTAAATATTGTATCTCCTTCAGTAATACTTAATTTTTTTTTTTGACAATATGTAATTTCCATTCAAATCAACGATAGGAGTACAAGCATAGCGGAATTACAAGATCGGATTTAAAATGTCAAGCACTTGGATCCATTCTTGAGGGAGAGATCCATTTGCCGCTTCCTTTGCCACCCAATCTGCGCTTTTGTTAGTAGATCTTGGCGTGAAGAATAAACTCAATCTGATATGCGTCTGAAGGAGAAAGCGAATCCTCTGAATCCATGCTCTAACCTGCCAGGGACCAAATAATTACGGCACACAAATAATTAAATATTGTATTTATCAAAGTCTCCTTCCGTGCTTTGCACAGGGAGCAAAGAAATTGAGATTTATGGGGTTCTGGAAGAGAACCTCCATATAGTATTGGTTTAGATTAGATTAAATTAGAGGTTTCATCTCCACTTTTATTTCTTTGTATTTTAGTTGTCCATTAAATAAATAAATAACTTAATGCAGCAATTAAAGTCAATTAAACCATCATTACGTAGCAACGGTAAATTAAAAGAACAATAGCTAGAAAGACATTATTATTTTTAAATAGTAATGTAATAATTTTATATAAGAGAGATATGTGTTGCTTATGATATTCGAACTTGAGATCTCATGTTCAAGACTAGTAATATTTTTTTATTTTGTTACTTATTAATTTTATTAGCTAAAATAATTAAGGCCATAATTAATTTTTAGAACAGGGCATCAAAAGTGTTGGGGGCGGCCCTACTCATCTCACTTTGAATTGCTAGTCTCTGCGTTGATATACTAATATTATGTTTGTGTTTCAGAGTTGATTAGGAATATTGGTCGAGTAAACAAGTCACCGAGGTTTAGGTTTTGAGCGAAGAGTTATATAAATACTGTAACTTCAACATTAATTCAGGTTATGTCGAAATAATTGAAAAAGTAGTTTGTGTTAAATGTAGAGTAAACATAATAATAGTTGTGGTATGCTTTTACCCTAAAGAAAGCGTACTACTCGTGATTAATGATGGCTTGTTTGTTGAGTTCCATTATAGGTCGGCTCTAAAGTACAATTTTAGATCCAAACCACTTATCTTCAACTGATTAAGATATAGGCACTTATCAATTTCTTTTGTTTCTACATGACACATGCATGCATGAAATAGTTTGTCAATGTTTTCTTTTGGGCTTCCTAGCTCTCAGCCCACTGCATGTGTGTCTGGATGGTCGATCGGTTCAGAAGTTGGGGTAGTAGCCTGCTATTGGGCTGCCAACGGCCTAGAACATCCTGAGGTGGGCTTACATCAGAGCTCGTAGCAACCTTCAGTCCTAACTCCTAACTACCCCAAGTTTTGTGAGCTTGGGATCTTCAACTTCAAGTCATATCAACATTGTCAGTTGTGGGAGGGAGAGTTGGTCTGATAGAACAATATTGTACTATGAACCAAAAGATGACGTGGCCCACCCCCCAATCAAGTAACTGATGGTCTGTCATTTGTCAAACAATATCGAGATGGAGTAGAAGGAAAATGGTTAGGAACGAAGACGATGGACAAAATGCTTATGCTTAAATGGAAAGGTATGCATGCACTCTCTCACACACACATCCATCATGATATATATGAGAACATTGAGAAGAACCAACCTTAAAGTCTCAGGCAGCTGGAATTGCTGGAAAGCGTGCAATTATACTAATCCATGTCGCCACATACTTCACTTGAAAGCATCCTCCACCAATTTAATAAATATACACCATTATATTACTCCATTACTACACCCTATATATAAAGCCCTCGAAACCCCCCAATTTCCATTCATCAACCGTTCCATTCCATCCATCTCTAACAAAACCATGGCGGCTTCCTCCTCCAACACCACATCCCTCCTGCTCCTCATCATCGCCACGTCGGCTTCCCTCCTGTCCCTGGCCGCGGGCCGCGACTTCTCCATCGTGGGATACTCCTCCTCCAACCTCACCTCCACCGACAAGCTGGTCGACCTGTTCGAGTCCTGGATGGAGAGACACTCCAGAATCTACGAGACCATCGAGGAGAAGCTCCTGAGGTTCGAGATCTTCAAGGACAACCTCTTCCACATCGACGACACCAACAAGAAGGCCGCCAACTACTGGCTCGGCCTCAACTACTTCGCCGACCTCACCCACGAGGAGTTCAAGAACAACTACCTCGGCCTCAAGCCAGTCAACACGAGAAGGGACACAGTAGTCAACGACGAAGACGACGAGGAGATCAGCAGCAGCATTCCCATTCCCAAGGCTGTGGACTGGAGGAAGAAGGGAGCGGTCACCCCCGTGAAGAACCAAGGGTCGTGCGGCAGCTGCTGGGCCTTCTCCACCGTCGCGCCCGTCGAAGGGATCAACCAGATCGTGACGGGGAACCTCACGGCGTTATCGGAGCAGGAGCTCATCGACTGCGACACGGGTTACAACAACGGTTGTAACGACGGTCTAATGGACTACGCTTTCGCCTACATCGCATCCACCAGTGGGCTCCACAAGGAGGAGGATTACCCTTACGTCATGGAAGAAGGCACCTGCGAGATGACCAAGGTACGTACTACGTAATAATAAATTATGTAACGCAATCCTATAGCTACGTGAGAGAATGTGAGCTGACGTGGAGCGAGCTGGCAGGCGGCGGATGCTGAGGTGGTGACGATTAGCGGGTACAAGGACGTGCCGGCCAACAACGAGCAGAGCATGCTGAAGGCGCTAGCGAACCAGCCGCTGAGCGTGGCGATTGACGCCTCTGGGAGGAATTTCCAGTTCTACAGTGGGGGTGCGTTCGACGGGCACTGTGGGACGAGCTTGAACCACGGGGTGGCGGCGGTCGGGTACGGGTCGGGCGGGAAAGGGCTGGACTACGTGATCGTGAAGAACTCGTGGGGGCCCGAGTGGGGGGAGAAGGGCTTCATCCGGATGAAGAGGAACACCGGCAAGCCCGAGGGGATGTGTGGCCTTTACAAGATGGCTTCCTACCCTACCAAATCCAAATGATTACCCATTCATTGTTGTTCCCTTACTTAAACCACACTCCCCAATTTCCTACCTTTTTCCACCCTTAAAAAAAATAATAATGATTAACACTGCTGCTTTCCATCATTTTCAGCTCAATTTACTTCAAGATGAGTCACCACTCACGACTCACCTATGTATGACTGTAACACCATATGCCATGTTATAGGTCAGTGACATGCGTGCCTGTACGTGGGTGCATGTGGTGGTGTGTTCTTTGAATTATTAAGCGACCCTGTTTAGTATTGTTGCCTGTTTTTGTTTTCTGTTGTGTTTTTCAAAATTGGAGAAACCAAGGAAAAAAAACATGTTTAGTTGTGTTTCTATTTTTTGTTGTGAATCAGATTTGCACAACAGGGCCAAAATTTGAGAAACAACATTTTATTGCTTTGGATTTGATTCTTGTACATGTTTTACACGGGATTCCCATTTGTTTTCATTAAAACAACCCTCAATTCGAATCCCACCTAAAACAAAAATGTTCTCTTTTTTTAAACTCCCAATCCCACCTCCAAACCCTAGTCGGCCAACCCTACCCTCATTTTCTCCCAAACCCGCCGCCCAACAGCTCCCTCCCTCTCTCAACTTCTTCCTCTCAAGACCCAGGTCGTCGATATCATCCATCTCCCCCTCGACGCCGATTTCGTCCCTTTGCCCCCGCCGCCTCCCTTTCCCATGTCGCCCGACCTCGCAACCCCTATCGCCTCCTCCTCTCGTTTCCCGTCGCCTCCCTTTCCCCCCAGCATCGACTTTGAATCCTTACCCCCCGCCACCTGCCTTTCCCCCTGCCGCCTCCTCCTCTCGATTCCCGTCGCCTCTCTTTCCTCCCGCCACCTCCTCTCGATTCCCTGCCGCCGATTTCGAATCCTCTCCCCCCCTCCTCTCTTTTCTGGTTTTTAGTTCTAATAGTAGTAACTGAATGTGTTTTTGTTTCTTGTTGTCTGCTTTCATTATTTTTCAGATTATCAACTAAACAGGTTTGTGTTTTCTGTTTTTTTCCTGTTGTGGTTGTACATCTATTTACACAACACCACTGCAACCACAACAGCAACAAATCGATACTAAACGGGGCCGAAGGCTTTATTTGGTATAATGCTGATGCTTTTTTTATTTCTGCAAAATGAAAGAAAAAATACTACATTTACATCTGATCCACACAAAAAAAACTAATTATATGAATAGTGCTTTTTCGGCGTGCAAAAAAAAAAAAAATTAATTGCATGGTTGGTCACTGAGATTACAAAAAACGTTCAAGTTTGGTCACTCTCCGTCCAACTCCGTTAACTTTTGCTGACGTCGCGGTCAACTCTAAAAGTTTATCGTTAAATGTGTGACACGACAATTGAAAATAATAAAATAAAATAAATTTTTTAAATTTTACACCTCATTTTTAACTATTAAATAACTAAAAATAAAAATATAAACTATGAAAAGTAAGAACAAAGGGGAATCTTCTCTAAACCCAATTTCTTTCTTCCTTTGATCGAATCGCGAATTACCCATTCATCAAATCCATGATCATGGATCCGCACGGCCTCGGATTCTTACCCATATACTTATGCCTCCCAGATTCCTTCTGATGAATCCATCATGTTCCCCAATTCCGACCATCATCATCAAATTCAAAACAACCCATCCTCCACCGCCGTCGATTGAGCTAACAATTCCCAGGATCATCAGTCTTTCAGCGCAACGCCCTTCGACCCACTGGACAGCAGCCATAGCCACAACCTCGACATTTTCAACCTGTCCTTCACCTTGAGTCCAGGCAGTGAGTCGTTCCTTGATAGAACTCGAGTCCGAGCTCTACCTAGGGATTAGGAATTAGGATCAACTAGGCATTGATCCGGAGATTTGGGAAATAGAAAGAGGAGTGGATTTGGGAATTGATGAAGAGAAGAGGAGGGGAAAGGGTTTGCTGCCGCGGCAACCAAGGGGAATAGGGAAGGGGAAGGCTCGGCGGCCAAAGGGAGAGAGAGAGGGAGAATAATAACAATAGGTTTAGGTTTAATCTTGCTTAGTGGCCTAATTCCACTTACAAGTAATTAATATAATAATTGGATGATTCCCTATTGCTACCTGTCATATAATTTATTTCCCAATTCCCGAAATAGTCCCAATAATACAAAATAACCATAATCCAATAATTAATCAAAATAACTAAATACTAGTTTCTATCATTCCTCTTCTTCACCGATTCCCAATCGGTGACGTCCGGCTGGAGCCCCGAAGCAGAGGAACATCTCCGACACATCCGACCCAATCTCCAAGTACATCAACCAGATGCTGATGAAGGAGAACATGGATGCCAAGTTTTATCTCTGTTACGACCCCTTGGTTCTCAGAGAAACCCAAAGCCAACTACTCTCTCTAGCTTGATACTTTTTTCCTGGGAGGTGCCATTTATATCCATCCCCTGTCATTAGATTCCAAACCCAGAGTCGTATTAAAATGAATGTCCAGATCTGTCATATGCCTCCTCTTTGATTCGTTTTTTAAACTAACAATGGACAAGGAGTTCCACAAGTCGAACGGGATCGACTTGATCTTGGCCGGCTTTCACTCGATGGTGGCCGCAGTGTTCATGTGCCTCGCGGTGACCAGGTACCGGAACGACAAGGACATGAGCACAGACTTGCTGACGACCAACAATGAGGAAATCAAGCAGCTGAAGGCAGGCAGGAGATATTTCCCAGCGGGGAAGATGTCCGCGACGAGGATGAATCGGGCGTTTTCGACGACAGATTCAGATCCGAGGAAGGATCGACGGGCGGTGGGGAGGTCGCCCACTCGGCTATCTGACCGGTCCCCGGTGAAGAGGAATTACTCCGCCTCCTGAGGTGGTGGGCAGGTGAGGATGATGGTTCGGCAGAGCACGGAGACGGGTCCTAATCCGGGTGCAAGAAGACCGTTGAGACCTGATCCGACTAGGAGGGCATTGGCGACAACTCAGCGAGGAGACCCGCTACCCACAGATTTACTGCGGCGGCGGATTCGGGTGCGGGTAACCGAAACGGGTCGGTGAAGAGGAAGAATCAGTCGCCGGGTCAGTTAAAGAAGGATCCTCCTGAAATCAGTGCCAACGAGGCAACGAAACCCGTTGTATTTTTTTATTTTTTTAATGAATGTAATAATGAGGTGGAAAATATAAATGTTTTTTTATTTTAAATAATTTTTTAGTTGCCAGGTCACTAAGTTAACGGCCAACCTTGAGAGTTGACTGCCACATCAGCAAAAGTTAACGGAGTTGGACGGAGAGTGATCAAACGTGATCCGTTTCAGTAAACTGAAGTACCACCAATGGATTTAAATATTTTGAGTGACCAAACTTGAACGTTTTTTGTAATCTCAGTGACCAACCATGCAATTAACCCAAAAAAAGGTGCATACTGGGGACATGTCTAAAAGTAGGTTTACTTTAAGACATTGAATTTTGGATTTTAGTTGATAACATGAGTATGATATGATGATATAGTGTAAGATCATAACTAATCAATGCATTAGTATTCTAAGTGCTATTAAACCTTCAATTTCAAACCCTAATCCTCAACGCTAAATTCTAAATTCTTCAAATCAAAGAAAAATTTAAACAGTTCATACATTTCTTTATCCATCGTATCATGAATGATAATTAACATTATTTTTACGTGATTCAACTACTCAAAATGATGATTATCTTTATAAATAAGGTACATTATTCTAAGCGCTAAAAAAAGTGAGCGAATGGAAGACAAAACCATATTGAAAGAAAGAAACCCACCGCATTCCCTGGTACTGTACACACAGACACCTTTTACTGTACAACATGACTGAGAATTACTGTTTCAACCTGGCGTGGGCTGGAGTTGGGTGAGGCCTCATTGGGATCTGACGGAGTTTGGGGGCTCGGCCGGGGTGGGACTGTTCGTTGCCTTCTGGTTGGTCTTCTTTGGGGTCGTTTGGTGGCTTTGACGCGCGTTGGTCATCAGAGATCTATATGTTGCTTTGGCCGGCGTGTACACGGATCGAGGCTTATTCAGTTGTTTTGGGTGTTCTGCTCGGCAGGGATCAGTGAGTGGATGAGAGTGACATGCATGGACAATAGAGAGATGATTTGTTTTTTTAGGAAAAAGGAGAGATGGGTTGTTCGAGGGTTCTTTAGATAGAGAGAGATAGCTTGACAGGGATGGGATGTTTCTCTGGTGTATGAAAAGACCGGCCTTCGGTGTGTCTCAGAGAGGGGTTGGGAAGTCCTTGCGATGTTCGGCCTAGAGAGAGGTTGAGAGAGGCTAGAGAAATATATACTTTTTCATTGTTTCTTTCCTTGGTGGGCATGGCACCACGTAATCCTTTAGTCCCCTTGCAAACAACTCTCTTTCTCTCCAATGCCTCTGTAGTCTGTCCACAACAATCGAAGTTGAAAGAAGTTTTCTCTCATATTTCTAATCCTCTTCTCTCTCCCTCTCTTCACTCAACTCCGCCGGTGCGAGCAGAGACGGCCGACCAAATCGGCGATGATCAGTTGCAAGAATACCAACAATTGCAGGTATTATCTCTTTGTTTTTTGATATGATCATCCTCCACTTTGGGTTTGCCTGATGAAATCAAGGTCTTGCAAGAGATTGACGAGATGGGAGTCGTAGAGAGAGCACTGGCGATCACGATTCCTCTGCTCAATGATAAAAGCATGTTGATTTTTCCAAACAGCAGGTTCTCTAAAACGTTTATGTTATGCCTCTTTCCTCTTTTTATCTCAATTTCTCTTCAACATCCCTCCAGCATCTCATCTCTTCCTCTTCTCTTTCATCTCATCTCCGTGGTCGTTGCTGGGGGACCATGGAATCACTGAGAGCCCATGGGTTACGATGCCTCTCTGACGAAGAGGAGGTTCTGTATTACATCCAGAGAGCATGCGGGGCAGACTCGGATCGTGGGGTCTTTCTGGCTTCAGTTGATCATTTCTTCCCTTTGTCTCTGTGGAGTTTGTGTTGTTTAGTGGGTTCCATGATATGAAATGGAGGATTTTTTAGGGGTTTTTGCAGATCTAAAATGTGTTTTGCTTTTGCCACCTTAACGAGGGCAAAGTGGTTATGGTACACCTGCATCAGCTCTTCGATCCTCTAGGGAACGTGATGCTACTTACGCAAGGTGAAAACGGTGGTTGATCATGGAAGGTGACGTATTTCCTTGGGGGTTGGATTTGATGTTGCCTGGTATTATTTGATTTATTATTCAGTGATGTGTCATTGTTAGAATGGCTAAACTATTTGTTTGTTCTTCCAGCCAGTCTCATGGTTCCCTAACCATTAAAGAAGATGTTGGCAAGCTTGGGAAGCCAACTCTCCCAGCAAGTAATTTGAGTAGGCCAGATTGTGTGTCAGTCGTTGCTAAGCTGGTATCCAGCAAGACCCCTAAGTTGCTTGGTTTGGCCAGCAGTAGACCAGTCAGCGTTGATAATCCGATGCAGGCCAATGGTGTCACAATTGTGGCTGATGTCAAGCATCCTGAAACGCCATCATTGTTTCTTCCAGGGCAGAAGTTGGTTCCTGTGAATTCTTCTGAAAATGTATCTTTTGCTTCTCCTGGAACTACTGGTGGCAACTCTGAGACTCCTTAGAGCAAGATTAGGAAGATTTCATCTTTAACACCACCCTCTTCATCACCATTGGCAAATCTGTGAGTAATTCTGCAGTAACAAGAAATGCTTTAGGTAGACATATACTCATATCCTTATATTTTATTTGCTTTTCTTTTCCCGTTTGTTCAAGGTTGGGCTTGCCACTGGGGAAGGTGAAGGTTGAGAAATTGGAGTCTTCTGAAACTAAAGAGGGTTATGACAAAGGGACTGGTGGTGAGCCTTTGAGTGTCGCACCATTCACACTTGGGGAACCTTCTCTGCCGCAAGAAACTCTTTAAGTGTTCTTCTGCTAAGCGTCGCCTGTATGGGGATTAGGTTTTTGTGCATGTATGTGTATGATTTTGTGATATCACACATGGTTTGCAATATGATAATGCTTCTGTGGCCATTTTTTCTTGGTTGAAAAAGGTTTTTGGTGAGCTTGGATTAATAGTGAATTTCTTATTTTGTCTCTTAGGTAAGCAAAGGAGTTCATGAAGGTTGGTTGTTGGTTGTTGCTGCTTGGATGATGATTTTGGGGGTGTTGTGGTTCGCTTTTTGTTCTGCCTGGGGAGCTGATTGGAGTCCACTTGATGCATTTGGGAAGCTTCTTTAAAACTTTTTGGATACTTCTTCTGCAACCCAACTCTCTTCAAGGCCCCTCCGATGCTCTCTGGTGCATTGTGAACATGATTATCATGTCATGTAGTTGTCAATGTTTCGGGTGTCTTGAATGTAGTTTGTTCGAGGATCACAATGTAGTACTGTAATTTCAATTTCGGGACAAGGTTCTTCTGTTGTGTTTCTATAGTATGCTGGTGGTTTATTTTTCTTGGAATTTCAGAAGGCCTCAATCATTAATGTATATATCTGCCTTTGTGAAGTGGTGATCGGTTATGTTTATCGGATTAATTTCTATGCTATTTTGACGCAGTGCAGTGGTTAAGTTGTGAGTTCATTGTGTTGAGTGACCAAGTTGTGTACTGTGTTGTGTGACATGTGTTTTGGTTTATTTGTTGATATAAGTAATAGTTTGCTTAGGAATCATTCTGGTTTATACCAATCATTGAATTATCAGTATTTATAGAATTAGGCTTTAAGTGGTGATAATGAAATACCAGTTGCTAAATATCTAATCTTTCAATGTAACAATAAGTGATTGATGATCACATCAGCCAGAATTGCACAAGAAACATAGTGTACTCATAAGCATTAACAGATATTTTCACAGGTTGAGTTCAGACTACAAGTACACAGGTGTGTAAAATAACTTCTTATATCCATGAGATATTTACACAATCAGCTTAACTATCTAGGTTTCCAACAAATTTTTAATTTTGCATTTTCAGGAATCACCCAATAAAAGCATCGTGACAGCTGACGAGAATATTCTGAAACAATGAAAATGCTCTTTTGTGGCAAATGCATCTGACTACCTATAATGTGAACAGATAGAACTATGTACTCACCCTGTTTTGGAAATGGCTTTGGTGCTCTTTATGTTCTTCTAAAGTTCATCAGAGAAGATCGCCAAATTTGCCTTAGATCTTTCAAGTCCGAAAAACAACCACAAAAGTTTCATCAAAACGACATGGTCGAGCAAGTTTTAGTTAGTGACTTTTTCGGGCTAAATAACAAAGCCCAAATATATCGTTGGGCCAACAAAGAACATACCTAATCCATTTCAACCCTTTTACGAGTTAAAAACAGGAAAAATCTTGGTGGAGACTAATGAACCTACCTGGAGAATTATTAGGGTCATATCACGATTAAGACTTACAGTCCACAATGCAAGCAAATTATAAAACAAAGTGACTCAAAGAAAAAATTGAATGGACCAATTGTGAACGGATGATTATCCAGGGAAGAACAAATATTTGTTACATCAAAATTAACTACACTAGCGCGGGCAATAAATTAGGACCAGAGTTGAATCCACAACAATTCTATGTCACGTACCAACGATTAAATTAGAAATGAATTAGTATCCTGCGGCGGAGCACGGGCTTAGTGCTAGTACATATATAAACTACATCAACCTCAGATCCTATACTAACTATAATCACAGTGCAACGCCCGGGCCATCCGATTCCGTCTCCCTTTCCTTCTCATTCTCCTCAAGCGACCTTCTCATCGTCTCTGGCGTGAAAGCATACGTCACCACCGTCCCCAAGAAACAAACGGCCCCAAGCACCACCAACGCCGCCCTCATCGGCTTCAGCTTACTATCCGGATCACCCTCATTATACTCCCCGCTGCTCCCCCACGCCCTCTGTATCCCCACCGCTCCCACCACCGCCCCGATCTTCCCCGTCGCCCCGGATATCCCGTGACACGTCGACCTCAGCCTTGCCGGGAACAGCTCCGCGGGGACAATAAACGTCGTCGTGTTGGGCCCGAAGTTGGCAAAGAAAAAAGTCAAGCCGTAGAGGATGATGAATCCCGCGTGCTTGTGCTTCCTCCAGAAGAAGTAAGGAATCCCGAGGCCCAAGTAGAGAAAGCCCATGAGGGTGAAGCCCATGAGCTGGATCTTGCGTCGGCCCACGCGGTCGATGAAGAAGACGGTGAAGTAGTACCCCGGGATGGTGGCGGAGATGGCGATGAGGGCTTGGAGGCCGGCGACTTTGATGGCCTCCTCATAGACGTCGGTGGAGTCGTCGACGGCGAGGTACTGCTGGTAGATCTGGGACTGGAAGAGGTTGCTCGAATAGAAGGCGACGTCGAGGAGGAACCACGTGGCGGCGCAGGAGAAGAGCTCGACGCCGTGGCGGCGGAGGAAGCGGGTCGAGAAGAGCGGGAAGGTGGAGGAAGGGTATTCTGGGGAATCCATGGTTGTTGGTTGTGGTAATTCGTCGTCGTCGAGTGGCTTGTCTTCTTGTATCTGGCTGAGTGGGAGGTCTAGGATTTTCTCCATGTCACGCGCTGCCTGTAACACATTGTTCTCTACTAGTGCTGTGTATCTGCACATATAGAGTGACCAAGTCAGAAATTTAAATGAGTGGAAATAAAAATTTAACGCTCAAAGAATTTGAAGTGATAAAAAATTAATATCTTATCAAATATTATATTTCTCAAATTTATTACTAAATTAACATATAATGTTACATGATTTTATGAGTTAGGAGGACTATAATTTCTCTTGAAGGTGGCTCCTCCACTGTGCATGGAGACATGTATGTTTTTGTTCACATTTTTTTCTATGCGTATTAATTAAAATGCCTCACATGAACGTTTAAAGTGGAGTTTTTTTTTCTTCTTCAAATTATTATAAAAAAGGTAGAGTTTGGTTCATATTATTTATTGTCACTTCAAGTTGTTTGTTTTATTTTACCACTCTGTCTCTTAGCATATTATTGATGGGCGTCGACACTGTTTGTTCCGTCGCCAAAGAAACATGCCTGGCCGGAGAAAAGTCTTCCATGCCAAAGCAATTATTTCCACCCCATTTAATAGCTTATTATCAACAAGAAACGAATAATCCAAATTAAATATTATGAGAAAGGAAAGAGACATATATCTACATAGAGATTTACTACAATAAGTTACTTTGAATTTTTAAATATGTTAGAGAAGGCTTCAGAGGTCGCACTACGAGTAAAATCTAATAAACATTGTGTAATGATTATGTGATTTATGTTTATGTTTATGACTTTATGTTTATGTAACAGCATGTAAAGGTCCGCGACGGATTTAGGGGGCCGCTTCGGGCTACGGCTCAGCCCTCTATTGGATACAGAGCTAGTATAGACCTTGTAAATGTTCGACTTTAGGTATTCGTTTTAGTGCTCGTCGTGTTACGACCAAGTCATGTCCGTCTCTTTTCAAATGTGGTCCAGTACTCTACCCTATCTAGAATCGGCCGCTGGTAAAGGTCATTACGGAAGTCTTACAAAATGGACAGTTCGTTTAAATTATAAATATTAACCTCCCATTATATAAAGTGTTAAATTGTTACGAAAGTCTTACATAACGCTTTTGATTTAACTATTACCTAAAAAATAACTATCATTTCGTATCCTTTACTTAATGGATATATATTTTATGTAAAAGTTGTAAAGTGTCATTACGGGATCTGTACGTAATAAAAATTAACATTGTCTTACTGTTATGTAAAGTGTTAAGTTATTTCAGAAGTCTTACGTAACGCTTCTGATTTAACTGTTGCGTAAGAAAGAACTTTCATTTTGTAACTTTTACATAAGTTATTTCAGAAGTCTTACGTAACACTTATGATGTGTATGTAACACTACATTTGTCAACGGTCAATAAGTAATAAGTGATGACCGGCAACATCGATTACCGATGATTTGGTAATCAATTGTCTAAATTAATTTTAATATATTTTAGCGATTTAAATTCATACAAATTATATCTGGATGAAACTCTGCACCACAAAACGACAACAAATCACAATCATGAGAACCACACAAAAAGAGAGAGAGAGAGAGAGAGAGAGAGAGAGCGAGAGAGATTAATGCCTCCCTGCCGGCCGGCGAGCTATAGTAAATCACAGAGCTTAGTGTTAGAGCAATTACCTGGCGGTTTCCGGCATCAACATCCGCCAATAATAGGTGAGCGCCGCGGGAACAGCACCCAGCATAAGAATCACCCTCCACGCCACGTCAGCCCCGGCCGGCGTGTGTTGATCGGACAACCCTCCTCCGGCGCGGCTGCCCACGGCAAAAATCTTGCAAACCACGACGGTGACCATGGAGCTGGCCAGAATCCCGAACCCCTGCATCGAAAACACCCCGGCGATGAAGGCCCCCCGGGTGTTCCTGTTGGCGAACTCGGACATGATGGTGGCGGAGAGCGGGTAGTCGCCGCCGATGCCGACTCCGAGGGCGAAGCGGAAGACGGCGAGGCTTCCGAGGACGCAGCCGCGGGTGGTGCAAACGGAGAAGCCGCAGGCGAGGGATCCGGCGACCATGATAAGGAGGGAGAGGCCGTAGACGCCGCGGCGGCCCATGCGGTCGCCGAGGCAGCCGAAGACGAGCTGGCCGGCGGCGGCGCCGAGGAGGGAGGCGGCGATCATGGCGAGGGAGATGTTGGTTGGGAGGTGGTGCTGGGAGGAATGGTGGGGATGCGGGTAGTAGATCCGGCCCAGCATGTTGGTGATTGGCGGGATGCAGAATAGGCTGTAGGCGTCGCTGAAGAGGCCCATGCCGGCGACTATTGTGGCCTTGAAGTGGTAGTACTGCGTCCGGGCCGTGTCCAGCGCCGACAGCACTTTTAGCGCCATTTTTGCTTTGTTTTTGTTTTGGGGGGGAATTGGAAATTCTGTTGTTGGGGAAGGAAGAGAATCTGCTGAGGAAAGATGGAATTGGAAACCCAATGAGTCCTCTCATATATATATATATATATACATACTGTGGCAGTTCGATAGTTAAGGTTGAAGTCAAAACTTATTTACACTTATATATTGGAAATAGGTTTGATGCTACAACACCTAATTCACGTATTGTAGAGTTTATTTACGTTATTTGGTACTCGTTAATGTAATTTGGTGGTTATTGATGTAAGAGTTGTGGTCATTCAAGGAAATGAACCTCAAATTTTTTTCTTTTTCTTCCTAATAATTTATATTGGTCTTATTTTATGGAGTAAACCTTGGACGAGTAATACAGTTTGTGTGACGGGTATTAAATTGTTTCTTAGTATGGTGCTAACATATGCTCTACCCAATATGAATATTTCGTTATGATGGCTTCTTAGCCCAAGGGGTTACCACAATTAATTCTGATTTCTAAAAGAGGGGCATGCTTGTCATTATGAAAATTATTGTGGGGCACACGTATGTGGCGCTACTTATTAATTTCACGTTTCGCGCCTCATCACAATTATCGACAAAACATATACCATAAACACACAAACCACACAACAAATAACATAAAGCATATACCATAACCCTTTAAAGCAGGTTGGAAACTCACCACACCACAAATTTATAAAGTATACGAGAAACCTCATAAAGCATACTACAAGTCATGTGAAACAAACACAAACCTCATAAAGTAGACCATGGGATCCCTGATACATACCAAAACCTCGTCACAACACAAAATTTATAAAACATAATATCAAAACCCTCATGAAGCATACCACAAGTTCCTTGAATATATGAGAAACCTAATAAAGCATACTCAAATTCTCTGAACCATACTAGAAATCTCATAAAGCATACCATAAACCTCATAAAGGTTACCATAAGTTCCTAAAGCAGACCAGATTTCTCATAAATAAATAAGACTAAAAGTTCCCTGAAGCAGACTAGAAATACAAACAACCATACTAGAACTCTGATAAAGCAGACCACATTCCTCATGTTTACTTTCTAGCATACCAGCATAAAACAACATAACTGACTCTTTTTAGGATTGAATATGAGTCCAGACAACGTATAAAATTGATTTAATACACTACACACATCCCTAACTACAGCTTTTGTCCCATTCAAAAAAATCAATAGATCATCCGCAAATGCCAAATGAGTAATCCCTAGGTTCTTGCAATGTGGATGATATGGTAATGTTACAGAATTAGCAGCTCTCTTCAATAGACAACGCAATATTTCCATAGCCAAAGTAAAGAGAAAATGAGATAGAGGATCACCTTGGCGTAGACCTTGCTTTGCTGGGAAATATCCACACGTACCTCCATTTATTGTCACATTGAGCATTGGAGTTGTAATACACGAAGCAATCCATCCCCACAAACTTCTCAGGAGGCCCCATAGCTCTCATTACGTTTAGTAAAAAATTCCAATCCACCGAGTCGAACGCCTTCATCAAGTCAATCTTCATAGTACACCTGATGGATATATTCTTCTTACTATATCCATTGACTAACTCTGCTGCCATTAGAATGTTGTCACTTATACTTCTTCCTTGCACAAATGCAGATTGATTCTTGCTTATCAAACAGGGGAGAGCTCTAGATGATCGGTGTGCTGGTATCTTTGTAATGCACTTGTGTACTTTCTGCTTGTAAAACGCCTCCTCTGCTCGCTGCATCTCAGAACAGGTTTGTATATAAAATACTTTTTTTTTACCAAAGGGGAAAGTGGAGGGGCGGGAGATGAGATGAGATGCAATGGTGGAAAAAAACTGAGGATGGAAGTGGTGGGTAACTACTATGCATAGTAGCACTTATCATAATACCCTATTAGTTATACTAGCTTATTACCCGGCCCGTTGGCCGGATTACTGTATGTTACCCACTTGTGGAATGGGAGAGAAAGCAAGTGAGAGTGAAGGGATTGTGATTCCACTTGATTAGGACCGACCCACTAATATGATTCTTCCCGACCCGCCCCAACCTAAAGGGTCAGAAAGAGTCAATAAGAAAATACGAACAGAGAGAATTAGTAATATATCTTGACTCTTCAGAAGTGGGTCAAACAGGATCAATGTTGGGTGAGGGCAATTTTTAGCGCTAAGCAGAGTTCTGGGTTGAATAACTTTACTTAGTCCTAGAAATTGGTGCTGATGCAGACTGCAGTTTTTATCATACCATCATCAATCATCGTTGAATTAGTCCTAGGCATCCCTCCCCGTTGTCGGTCTGAATTTTAATGATGGCTTCATTCCTTGCACCAGCCATATCGGCGAGTTGTCATCTCGAGCATGATTTGCCTATGTACAAATGATACAATTAGAGTATGAAACTGATATCAAAGAAAAGGAAAAGAGAATTCTATCACATGCCAATAAATACACACATAATAGTTGAAGCTAAGTGAAAGTCATTACTCGCACATCAATTCTCAAAAATTACAGACTAAACAATGGCTAGAATGGCACTGAAACTACCAAAAATCATGGACGAAACAACTTGTCAACTTAAATAATTCTTATACTGAAACTACCTTCTAACTTGAAATAATACATGATCACAGTTCATAGCACTCTTATCACTATGAATTGGTTGCAGCTCGTCCTTATCACTACCTCCCAAGCTCAATTCAAACAGAATAGACACAGTTATGTAAGATAACCATATCCTTACTGATCGTAATTCCTTTCTTCACTCCATTTTTGTCGGAGAAAAGAGTTATCCCCCTCTCATGCATTTCCCTTTCCCCCTCTCTTCTCCCTCTTCTTCACAAACCGATCCCTAAACCAGCAACAACAACACAAAAATAGCCTTCGCCTCTGCCATCTCCATCTATTGAACGCGTTGGTGGCAAGACAGGACTGCAGAAGCAAAATTTTCTAAAATCAAACTAAATTTTTTGAAGGATACTCAACCACGAAAAAAGAGTAAAGCAACAATGCTAATAGTTCAGATGGTTGGTTTTGATGTTATCCGTTGCTTTTGTTCTGGTCTCCAGTGTATCAACTGCAACAGAGATGTTTCCTCCAATCATCTTTAGTGCACGATTTAGAAGTAAGTCCTCTTGTTTGTGTCAAACGGAAACATTCATGGGTTCTTAACTCCCCTGTTAGTGTAAATGCAGCAGCAGCAAAGAAGTTTGACAACACAGCAAGCACCCAGGCAAAATGATACAATGCAGTAGGTGATATGTGTCTCGAAGGTTTTGAGTTACTAAAGTTCATGTTAAAAATAAATATGAATTAAAATGGATTATTCTATTAAGCAAACATCCCCTCTAATCATACAAAGATCAGATATCCAATTCACAAACAATTAAGCCATAAAAAATCATCAAACATCCACCACCTTTGATTGCCTAAATTTGGTTTTTCGCAAAGTTATGGACTCTTAAGGGTAACGTTCATGGGTAGTATGTTTCATAACTCTAGAGAGCATAGTAAGCAGCCACCAACCAGACACAGTGCGGTAGGCGAATATGATTCTCAATTCACAATTGCTCACCACCGGAAGTAAGAACAGACCATAATAAGCGTAGCGTTCATGGGTGGTATGTTTCATAGCACTACTACACAATTTGTTAAAAAAGAAAGAAAGGTATTTAGCATCACGACGGAACAACTTTTACAGGCCAACAACGACAACATGCTGCAACCACCAGAACTGGTATCACAACTCATAGGGAAAATCAAAAGATTTACTCTCAAATTAAGTAGTTACAACATCGAGCAATCGTCAAGCACATACACCATCACAAAAGTCACAGAACCTTATTCACAAAGCATTCAAACATTTGAGGACATTTCTGCAAAGGTACAACTTATATGTCTTTTTTCCAAGCCATTTCCATCAACATGCTAATAAATTTGCAATGCATAAAACAAACAGGCCAAAACTTGAAATTCAACCTGTTTGACCGACCCATGCCAAATTCAAATTATTCTATACTTTTAAACTTTCTATTTGAAAATAAAAAATAGTGAAAGAAAAGAGACGACTACAATTCGCCATTTGCACATCACTTATTTGGGAATAAAACCATATAAATTCAAAAGGAACTGAAAATGTTTAGGATCGTTTTAATGTTTAAAATAACCAAATAGATCTTTATGTTTAGTTTTTTACTAACAAATACCAAACGATTCCCTATAAAATACACTATAATTTGATCATTATGATGTCAAATAATTATAAAATATATATTTGAAATGATAAAAATTGGACTAATTGGGTTGGTCGAGGTTGAACCATTGAATAACTTTAAAATACATTATATTTTAGCCACTAAGATATAAAATAATAGCATAATATATATTATGTCAGAGAAAATAGCTTGTTTTAGAATGGCAAACCAATGATGTTCATTTGTTTTACTTGATGACCAAATCCCATGTAGGTCAGGCTCATTCAACTCTTTTGTTTTATGGTTAGCGGTTAGCCCATTAGATACCATGCATTAGTTTATTGTTAAATTTTTTATTTTTAATAATAAAAAGGAGTATTATTTTTGTCTTTTCATATATATTTTATCACCACGGAGAAATAAAAGGGTATAAAGAAAAAAATTGACACTCCTGGACCCGTTTAAATCCGCATGTGTACGGTAAGTTGGCCCGTTCCACAGAGGAAAGAGAAAAAAAATTGACACTCCCTATTCCACCATTCCTACAAACGCTCCTGGAATAGGAAATTTGAAATAGGGGAAGAGTTTTTCCCACCCTGCTATTATATGTTTTTAATTTAAAAAGATACAACAAATGTATTTAGTGTGATTGGTTATGATCTTTGCCTTTCTTTAAAATGGTCATGGTTCGAATCCCAGTATGTATCCTTTTAATGAATAAAAAAAAGTAATTGTGAAGACCAAAATGTCCTTCCTACTTTCACTCTCATTGCAGGAAATTTGAAATGGGGCTCCCGTTTTTCCCTTCGGTGTATTATATTATGTGTAGATAGATTAGCTTGATTCGAAGTTCTAACACTAAGAGATGTTAGCATTCTATCCGGTCTAGGGAATTTGTATGAAAAATTGTTAATTTGTTTTTTGGATAAAACAAA